AATGCATCAAGAAGAAGTCTTCTGTTCCTCTTCATTACGGTCCCACTCTTTCCCCTCATTTCCTTCTCCATTAACGTTCACGCCTCTTCGTCCTATCCTCCTTTTCTTCCAATTCTGTCTCCTCTTCCTCCTCCTCTTCTCTTTCTTCTTGTTCCCCTTCTCTACTTTTCCCTACTTCATCTTCTTCATATTTTCATCTGTGGTCTAGTGGTCAGAGTTCCTGGCTATATATCCAGAGGTCCCGGGCTCGATTCCCAGCACTACCAGATTTTATGAGAAATGTTGTGTCTGGAACGGTATCCACTCAGCCTCATGAGGATAAATGAGGAGCTACTTGAATGGAAAACTAGCGGCTCCTGTCTAGAAAACCGAAATTAACGACGGTGGGGATTCGTTGCGCTGACCACTCGACACTCTCTATCCGCTAAAGTTGGCTTAATTCATTGAGCAGAAGGACAGCTTTACCTTTACTTCGAGTCCTTGGACGGTGATCAGCCCGTAGCAATGCTGTTAGCTACACACAGAATAGTACAAACACAGAATAAAGGCACACAGACATCCATGTCTTGAGCAGGATTTTAACTCACGACCCTAGTGTTGGAGTGGTTGAAGACGGTTCATGCCTCAGACCGTGCAGCCACTGTGTTCGGCCTCGGAGGAATATACGGTCACTTTTGGTAAATCAAAAGCACAGCGATGGGCGAATAATAAGTTAGGCATTTTTCAGTTTATTTATAGCTTATCTGACAATGCTGTTGGTAACTCACACTGTATAGCATCGAATTATTTTATGACAGTGAATACTGAATTGGAAATGATGTGGAAGGAAGCAGTCTTGGCCTAATTTTTGGTATGATCCCAACATTTCCCTGGAGGGACTGAGGAAAATAGAGAAATCCCTCAGCCAAATATTTGGTGTTCAGCATGAAATTCGAATCGGAAACCTCCTAAACACTAGTCAGAATAGTTACTTCTGAGAAACGTTCCCACCTCATGACTCGTAGTACGCGGGTTCAAATACCCGGTGGAGGTCGTCGAATTTTTAAGGGCGGAAAAATTCAGGGAACAAGTCCTCCGGGAGGGACTTTAAGCCGTGGGTCCCGTGTCGTAGCTTTACGGCACGTAAAAGAACCTCATATGTCCAAAGAAGGTCACTGAGCCAAATTCAAGGACGTTTCCCGCCCAACAAGTAGTCTCTAACACCTCTGATAGATGGGGGAAGCATTATAGATACCGCCAAGCTAGTGGAGGCCGAACTCGCTGGCTCGGTCGGGACTGATGGTACGCACCAATATCGGTAGGGTATAGAGACTGGTAGAATATCATAGAGGGAAGCACAATGGACCAATACAGGTCTAAGTGCATGGGAAAACCCACCCTCTCCAATAACTAACTAACTAACTACTTCTGAGACAACTTGTAAGTTAAAGTTGGAGTAACTGTTCGTTTCAAAATTTGTATTTATCCAAAAGCATAATTCGCTTATCATGGTTCAGCATTTTTCAATAACCAATCAACGTACAGAAATTCAACATACTATGCTGAAATTTTTCTAATGATTGGTTCACTCTTTAAGACCTCGGGGTGTCCATGGTTTTGTTCTAAAAGAAATGTTATTGCAAGTATAACGAGATGTGTTTGCCTTTGGTAGGGCCTTGTTTATGCTAGATTTCAAGTTATGTTTGTATTACTGACATTCTCAGCAGTATCATCTGGTTGACAAATTATCGATTTTAATACCTTTATAACCCCAATACTTATTTACAATTCTTTATTAGAGTCCGTCACAACACAACAATAAAATGGTAAGGCTAAAATTAGCTTAGCTACATGTTTGGGCTATTAAAGCAATCGTCAGGCACATGATTACCATAAACATGATGGTATATTCCGCGGGAATATAACAAAATTGCAACAACTGACTTGATGATATAGAATATCACATGATATTTTTAACCTTATTTTACGCCATAACTTTCGTTTTTATAATATGTTTCTAGTTCACTGTATTTTATAATGTAATAATTAGCAAGTATCCAGCTATACCATCACAACTGCAGTTCAGTAGTGTGCAAATATGGTAGTCATCTGTGTGCCTGATGATGGCTTTAATGGCCGAAACATGTAGCTAAGCTAATTTTAGCCTTGACCATTGTACTGTTGTGTTGTGACGGACTCTAATAAAGAATTGTATCTAATAACACGACAGGATACATGAAATGAAAAATAATACTTATTGTTTATGCTCGCAATTTCCTTTTAACGAACAATGTTTTATAAAAATTAATCACAAAGATAGGTCTAATAAGTTTCAGATCCAAAAATGTCCCAATAATTGCTCTCTTCCTCATAATGAATATCATTAAACAGATTATTTACATTTATACCTCAATTTTCAGTTACCCTGCAATTTCCGAGAAGTTTAACATCTCCTGGCAACCTGTTGGATGGAGATGGGCCAATGACATACGTGTCAAGTATATGAACATAAGCGCTGATAGCGTAAACAGTTTCGAGGGATTAAATCTGACAATGGAAAATGACATACAAAGAAAGGATGGATATGTGGTTATCATTGCCTTTGTCAGAAAATATTTCATTCTCTAAAGAGCTCAAGAAATTAGTAAATTTTGCCACATCATTACTGCTAATGTCTTACTTCAGTAACTTGTTTCCACCGTTACTGTTGTTAATTGTTTTTTTATAGTCAGTTTTATCGAATGGCTTCACTAGTTAAGATATTTAATTCAAAACATCCCAGAATTGCACAATTTGTTTCTGCGCCATCCGATCAATAGGGATGAAATGGATGTCCGGTTTTCATTTTAAATACCTAATGGATTATAATGGCCGGTCACGGTAGCCCAGCTGTCTAAGGCATGTACTGTTTTCGCTCGCTCGGAAGCCGGGATTGTGGGTTCAAATCCCACACAAGGCATGGGTGTTTGGTATGTGTATGTGTTTATTCTGTGTTTGTGTTGTCCTGTGTTTAGGTAGAGGCCTTGCGAAAAGCTGATGAC